ACACAAAGATGCACACTGACAATCCCTTATATAAGTTCAACACAATGACCTGGTGGTTTCTGAGTTCTTATGATGCTAAAAATCCTGTTAATCACTTATACTGYCATGGAGTGTTCAAAGCATGATGCTAAAAAAGGAAAGAAGACTTATTTAAATGTAAACACAAGATGAAGAAAGCTATCACTTCTGGGGTTCACCCTGGGATTCTTTTAAATATTAAGCTCCATTTAACATAAATAAAGGGAAAAACTTCTAGCAAATTCAATATACCAGTATCTCTAGCAATGTAACTACAGCTGATTCTCCCAGTGACTAGTACAAAGCCTAGGAGCAAGGCATCTGAATCAGACTGCTTGTTTTCCAATCTTGTCTTGCCACTCACTAGCTAGGAGATAATGGTCAAGTTTCTTTACCTTTTCAGCATCAGCTCTCCATGCAGAGGCATCACAACAAAGTCTATGACCACAGTACCTTAGCACACAAGGACAAATGCCATTTACTAAGCACTCACTGCTACCAAACAGAACTGTAACAAGTAGCTACAAAACTTTTTCATTGAGAAAAAAAGAAAAAATAAATTTAAAAAAAATTCTGATTGAACTATAGTTTTCTGGAGAGTTATCCATTTAGATATTTTAAGTTGAGAAGCACTGTAATAAAGGCTTTTTTAACCCATCTTTGAATCATTGAGACTTTGCTTCATTTTAGAAATCTCTGGGTATTCCAAGGTCAGAAACAGATTATCTTAAATGGTAATATATATAATTTTTATTTTAAAGAAATCAGATTTTTGGTATGTATGAAGTACTAGGGATCAAATCCAGGACCTCATGCATACTAGGCAAGCATTCTATCACTGAGCTACATCCATAACCCCCCTCCCCCAAAAACTGGAAATTGAAAAAAAAAAATCTTGTCCAGTCTTCAGTGTCTGTTTACTTAATTAAGTTGATAAGTCAAGTTCATCAAGTGGCTGAATTATTAATTAACAATAATAGCCAACATTTCTTGAGTTCTTACTATCTGCCCTACCATACAAAGATCCTTAGGCAGTAGGTTTACCAAAAGACTGCCAAAACAAGAATCAGGTAAGCCTCAACTTGTATGACACCAAYATGAATGTTGGAGTTTCATGAAAATATCCACTATAAATCAACTAGCCCAGCCACAGACACTTGGAAATCGCCAGGTCCACATCTTTTGCAGATGAGAAACTGAGGTCCAAAGAGATAAAAATCCAAAGGTTACCAAACAAGTCTCACTAATTCCCATTCAGTGTTGTCAACTATATGACAGATGGTTTAAAAAGAGAAAGGCCCAGTATGTAGAACATGTCAAAATACGTTCTACTGTCATGATGTATGTCTAAAAAGAATAAATAAAAAAGAAAATTCAGGAGAGAGACAGAGAGACAGAGAGACAGAGAGAGA